TTTATCAATTTTGCATGAATTAAGTCTATTTTTATTGATTTTTAAGTTTTTAATCTGATTTTACATTATTGATACATGTTAATTTATAAAATCATACTATTTTATAAGTTCATTTTATGATTTTGATGACAATGAGTGCTATCTAAAATGACTGAAATTAAATTTGAAATAAGAAACTTCCTATTCATTTCTTTTCTTCTTTTTTGTCTCTCAAAAATTTGTTAAATAGACCAGGATTTTAATCGACTAAACCAGCATGAAGTGGATCCCCCTGTGTGACCCTCCTCCATTATTTATAATTATATTCTAAACCAAATCTACTTTAGTTACTCAACTAGTATAGGGCCATGAGTTGCTTGAATATTGTTCGTTATACATTTGTCACGTAATGGCAAGAAATACTTCAAGCATGAGTAATTTTTTCAGCTAGGGAATCTATGCTCCGGAAGGACTAATCTCTGTTAATTGGGTACTTACATCAGGGATAATGTAATGAATAATCATATAGATATGGATTGTTTTTTATGATATTTTTTTGTTTAAAAATATATTAAAATAATATTTTTTAATTTTTAAAATTTATTTTCAACATCTCATCAATTAACGTAACATCAAAACATTCTAAAAATATATTAAAAAATTAATTTAAAATAATTTTTTTAAAATTTAAACAAAAGACAAATTAAATTTCAATGTCAAACATCCCAGGACATCTAACTATACTCTTGAAGCTTCACCTCGCTTGAATGATGGGCTCCTCTCTGTATTATAATTTTAATGGAAAATTATTCTTAGCATTACTATTATATTCCATTTAATGACTGTTGCAAAATAACAAAATTGTTAGTAAAAATGCCACTTAAAAAACTGACTTCATCTTTACTAAATATGAAACCCTAGCCACTGGCTTGAATTCAGTCACATCATCTATACCCAAGAAGCCCAGGTGATCAAATCATCTCGCCACCCTCCAACAATCTCAAATTCAGGCACGTCTTCTCCCTTCCCTGATGGACATCCTATGGCTGAATTCTGTATGGGTGAGGCTACACTCTTGGACTTTCAGATTTTTTATTTTATTTTTATTAATGTAGTTACACAGGTTACTTATATACATCTTAATTAATCTTATGAATTTTAAAATTAATAATTATATAAATTTTTAATAACTGTAAATTTTATAAAATTTAAATTAATAATTTTTAAAAAATAAATTTAAAATGTTACTAGTTAAATTATACAGTACAAAATTAAACTTTGAGAATTTTACTACTCGTAAATGTTGTTGAAGATTAGGTATGAAAACGGCGGGGGGGAGCACAGACGCTCGTGATGGAAGTGGAAGTGGGCTAAGAGCTGCATATAATGGTGGCACCGAGCGGCCTAGGATGCGACAAGAGGCACATCCCCAGCTACCGCCTCTTTTCTTGGCCCTGAAACGGTGGGGGATGCAGTAGCCTTCACCATCGCACGTAGAAATTTGAAATTTAAATTTACCGTCGCCTTCACCATCGCACGTAGAAATTTGAAATTTAAATTTACTATTGGTTCTGATCATGGGATGGAGCGCAGGCAGGATTTGTCTTATCGGTCCGAAAAAATGATTGCATGAAGGATATATATTATCGGTCCAAAATTCAAGATTGCAACATTATAGTATGAATTAAAAATTCTTCGCTTGATAGCAAAAATAAAATGTTTTATTAGTATATTAGCTGGTCATGCTTAGCCGCGTGTTTGGAAAAACATTTAAAATAGTATTTTATAAAATTAAATAAATATTTATTTAAAATTAAAATTTTAAATATTTTTATATACTAATATCAAAAATAACTTTTAAAAACTGAAAAAAATATTATTTTAATATATTTATATAAAAAAAATATTTTAAAAACCAACTATCTCCCTTCTAAACAACCACCTAGCAATGCATCTGCCCGCTGTTCTGGAGAATTGTGCTCGACGTCACAAAGAAACAAGCAACATTTTTGTAGGGGCTAAAAAAAAAAAAGAGTCCCTGCAAATGGCATGCAATTATTAAGGTTAAACTATATATTTAGCTCCCAATATGTATTCAATAAAGTTTCACTTTGGTCCCTGAAATTAAGTTAAAATTTCTTAACACTCTTTTTTTCTAAAGTTTAAATAAGAAGACGCCTGCCTTTGGCGACTTTATCCTTCATGTTTTTCCTGATATTTCCTTTTGTTTTCTCCCAGAATCTCGTGTATGTGATAGCTCGTGTTTCACAACAATTCTTGAAATTAAGTGGGAAATACACTAAAAAGTAAATGAATTGAAAGACTGGTTCTGTCATTGGTTGCAGCCGGCTACTATTTAATAATAATAATAATAATATTAATAATAAAAGGTTCACTTTGAACTTCTTGAAATCTACGAGTTTAATATTGATCAACTTGGATGGGGCAGAGCTCTCAAGAATTTTAGGGAATTATAAAATAGCTAGCCATTGCCTACAATTGTCAATATTAATTATAAAAATACTAGAAAAAACTAAAAGATATAGAAAAAAGGAAAGTGCTTTGCATTGTTAACTAGACACTTGTGATTTTTATTACACTATTCATATGAACAACTTTTTTTTTTTTCTTTCGGTCATAGAACTACTTTTTTTGTATTTTCTTCATTCTAAATCGTATTAGCATAGTTCTACGAATTCTTCCTTTTCATGCTCTCACATGCAAAATGTCGATGAATATTTTGAAAATAAATTTAAAGTTGATGTTATAAAATAGAATTTTAGGTTGTGATTAAAAAAAAGTTAAGAGACCAACGATCAAATTTAACCAAAAACACCCCTTTTCATTGTGGAATTAAAAAATTAATCTAGTCCCTAAAGTCTAAATTTATGTATTTGCATGGCCCCAATTGTTTTATCTTTTTATATCTCAGCCCTAAACTTCTTTTTTTTTTCTTCACATTTCTCTCTAAATAATGAGAGAAAAAAAGAAATATCAACTTACCGCTTTAATATTTAATTAGTGCTAACACTTTTACTTATTTATCAACACTTTTACTTATTTATCAGTCCATGTATTTTTTTTAATTTATTTCAATAAAAATAAAATATTTATTTTATTATTTTTTACTGTAGTATATTTATATAATTTTCTTAAATTTATTATTTTTATATCTATTCATACAAGTTCTTAAAAATGATCTATCATAATCTTTTTATTATTATTATTATTAAAACTTACTTTCACAGCCATAATAAAAACATGATTTTGTAAAAAATATATTTGTTTCTTTTTAACTCAAGTTATTAAAACTTTGATGAGTGTTTTTTTTAATTGCTATTATTTTTTATTACAAGAAGTGGTAGTATATTAGTGAGAGGAGGGCTTCTTTCTCCCACCATAATTTCATCATCTTTATCCTTTTAATCACATCATCTTCGTCCTCCTCCTCTCACTTTTCTGCATCTACCACCGCCATTTCTATATTTTTTTTAAACCTCAATATCAACCAATAAAATATATATAAACACAAGCATAACATCTATGATGAGAATATTCTTCTTAATACCATATATAAACACTATTATTATTATTATCATCAAAATCATTATGGTCTTCATCAATGTCACACATGAAAAAAGAAAATTCATTGTCTTTATCGTTTTGAATTTAAAATCCCTTAAAATCAACATTAAAAACTTGTCGTAACAATACGTCGTCTATGTGCAACGTATGGTTAGTGCCGCTATTTTTTATGTAGGAGTTGCTCCCAGCAAAAATTTTCATTAATTATATATCCTGCAAATTAACAACTAACTTAAAATCAAATAAAGGTTAAACAAAGCTAATTAAAGATTAAAAAACAGTGTTTAAAACATCTCGTGAATAGTAAATAGCTTACATAAAACTTGGGTTTTTTTTAGGGTTTTGTTCCTACCAGCTTGGTATTAAAAAAATATTATTTTTAGGAACTTGATAGGGGTTTTGTTCGGATATTAAAAAACGGCACCAGACATGGATTTCAACATGTACAAACAATTATTTAGGGTTAGGGTTTGTTATCCTTTGACTTTTGCTCATTCCTAGAAGAGAAGAGAAGATTTCAAGACACAAAATAAATGTCATATATGTCGTGTGTTTTGGTCTTTAATAGTTATATTATATGTAAAATTTAAATTTTATTTTAAGGTGTAATTTAAAAAAAATTAAAGCAAAATATCATCACTATTAAATATTAAAAAGATTAGGGTAATTTTCCCTCCAATTAACTATGGTGTTAAGTAAATAAGGCATGTTATTGTGAATATATATATATATATACACACACACACACACTCACTGTGCTCGCTTGGGCGATGAGAGAAGACAACTTGACATATATATAAATTTAATCATCATTTTTCTTGTAAATGAGAGAAGACAACTTGACATGTATATAAATTTAATCATCATTTTTCTTGTAAATATTTATTTTAATTTCTATATCAATCACGGAAATATGCTGGAACATGCTAGCTATGATTGACAGTAAATGTTGCTGCGACTGTCAGGGAACGGTTGTAGTAAGCGACTATCAATTAAGGACGCGTCTGGTCACTGGTGACAAGAAAGGATTCTCCAGATAAAAGAGAGAGAAAAACAACCCCTCTTTCTATCCATCTCCCTTGTTATAAAATGATTCGGTCTCCATTGACGATTTCCTCTCCTCTCTCTGCAAGAGAGTCCAGCTCTGGTGTTGAAGTCAATAGTCATATAAGTACTAGTAGCATGTGCCTTCTTCACATATAATAAATGTGAGATATCCTTGGTGGGTTCATATTATAAGTGTAGTTACTCTCATTACTGTTATTCTACTCATAATTTCAAGCAAGAAGCCTCCCATACACGCGCCATGTTTTGTGTCTCTTCTCCAAATGCAGAAGAAGCTTTGAAGAACTCTCTTCCACATGAACGTTGCTCTTGAATTATTCACCTCGACAAAGGTACGTTTCTCTACCAACCATTTACTCCTCCTTCGTTTTAATTGTCCTTTTTAAAGCCACATTAGTTTTTGTCAATGTTACAATGATTTTTAAGAAAGGTTTTTATCCTCTCATCTTTCTCTTTATGGATCATGTGATTTCTTCTTCTCTTCTTGCTTCATCCAAGGCATTGTTTGGTTCATATTTTGGGATTTTGAAGGACACCTGTTTTGCTCTTGTATGGGGTTGGTTTCATACATATAAGTGTACAAAAAGCAAGCAGAGTGTTTCCCAGATTGCAATTTGAAGATTTGAACTGATCTTTGACTTGGATTTGGGTCTTTCCTTTTCGATACCCATAGACTTTCTGCTCACTTACTGTTTTAAGATAACTGGTAACAGTGCAGTGAATCTAGCTTGAGTCATACGTTCATGGCAGTTGTCTTTTTTTCTTCTTCAACTTTTTGACTGCCAATCCAAAAGAGCATACATGATCATCACTACTTTACTCTTCAACCTCTACTGTAACCAAAATTCACTTAAAGGTTGCAGCTTTTTATTTCTCTCTCTTTCCTTCTTTTTTTTTCCCTTGTTTTTTCCCTTACCTTCCATTCTACGTCCTAGCTAACAGTCTAAACATAAAACTGAGGCTAAGAAGCTTCGGTTTTTTATTGTGAAATGAAACAAAGAAGAAGGAAAAGGGCATCTTGGCTCTCTCTCTCTCAATTCAAGACTGTTTTAGAGATTAAAATGTCGAAAGAGCAATTTCCATCTGCCATGGTGTGTCGCTAATCCCAGCAACATTTATCACTTCTCTTTAGTACAAATGTCTCTGAACATGTTAAAGAAACGTATTTGATGTTTATGGTTTCAGGAAGAGGGCCTTGTTTGAAGCCTTTTGGATTGTGTCCTTGATCATCTCGAGCTCTTTTAAAAGGTCCATCCCCGACCCTGACAATAGTAAAGTTGTTTCCTATCCAAAGGGATAAAGGGGAACAAGAAGGCCTCCAGCGAGAATGATGATGAGAAGATGGCTCGCTTGCTGCGCTAGGGACACAGAGATTAGCCTCGACTTCGATGAACAAGAGAGTAAGATTTTTTAATTTCTTACAGTAGTATTTTTTTGTTGGTAACACTAATTGTACTTAAAAATAAATATTTTGCTCAAATTATTATTATTATTTCTTTGATTGATATGAAGAGTCCCTTACGTGATTAATTAGATCTGCCATCCCCACTGAACGAGACAATGAAGTAACTTAATGGGGACACCAATGTCATTGTCTATTGGTCCAGTCACTGTTTTTTTTTAAGGGAAAAAAATGGTTTAATTTCTACTTGGACAGCATCCACATGGGAAACCTTCTTTTTCTCCTTTTTATTGGTTTCTGGCTATTTATATGCTTGAATGAACGTATATTTACCTGTCTTATGTTGCACAGTGCTCCTGTGAACCCATACCATCCAGCGTTTCACCATTTTTGGTCTCTAGTGACAGATCGCTATCAAGAGCCTGTCCTCTTATTCTTGATTTGTTCGTGGAAAGAAAAGTTGTTTGAAACTAGCGGTCCATTGGTCTCGCTCAAATGATACTCTGTGAAATTTCCTTTTACTGTGGCCCATATAATGATAACATAGGAAGCTTCTGCTTAGTGATTACGCATCTTTGTTGTCAGTGAAATTTCAAAAGCCCTAATTTGAGAAATCATATTCATAATTCCAATTTAAGTGTGGTTATCTTTCCTAGAAACTCATTCATCCTGTCTAAGCTAAAAATTGTCACCCTACGAGACCACCCAAAAGTTCAAACATTTGTTCCTTCTTTTCTTTCTCAGAACGGCATGCGCAGCAGGCACATGCTTCTTGTCTTCTTCTTTTCCTAACGCTTCATCCATATGCTAACATATTTATGATTACAATTGTTATTGATGGACAAAACAGCAGTATTATAATGCAGAGGCATTAACAATATAATTCGCTTGTGGTTCATGGATGAAATGGTCAACATCATCGAGCCACGTAGCTGATGCATCTCTTATTACATACCGACAAATTAAGTTCTGATATATGTGGCTGGTGGAAGCCGAACCTTTGACTTGTAGCTAAGGAAAGATTCAAAATTAGGGACTGTAGCCAATAATAAAAGCACTTGCATCTGCATGTGCTGAAACCTATATTGTCAAACAATAAAGACAAATTTGGCAACTTACCTGCCCCACTCATATGCCTAGATCTCAAGGTTTATTGCTACTAGATCTTTAGAGATTGAGAGAGAGAGAGATGGTGTATTTTTTTAGCACGCCGCTTGATTTTAGTATAGCCACTTCTTTGGTAGCGAGTCCAGCTTACAGTCATACAATGTAGTGAATAGTTAATCCCTTTGAGCTATGACAAGATAAAAAATGGAATAGCTTGGCAGAACTAGCTAGTAGCATGTGACTTCTGATAAGAGACTTGACTTTGGTTAAAGCCTGGTATATAAATGTGTCAACCTGATTGATTGAAGCCTTATTTGGATGCTACTATAGTATTATGTGTTGAAGAAATGATTTAGATTTTGGATCTTAAGATCAATCTTGTCAGTGGAATTTAATTAAGCTAAAAATCTCGGGCATTATATATGCTGATTACATATTTGAACGTATAGAAAATCCCATGACGAGACATGGATTCGTGTTTTTTTTGTTTTCTTTTTAAGGAAAAATAAATTTTTATATGGTATTAAATACCGTTTTTATAATATAAATAATTATTTCAACTTAATAATTAAAATTTTTAAATAAAATTTATATTATTTTCTAATATATTTTTTTAAAGTAAATATTTTTGGATTTAAAACTTATATAAGTATAGTATTTATTTTATATTTAATTTTTATTAAATAAATATGAAGGATCATATTCGTAATTGTTGGTCATTGAGATATTAATATATATTAAAAAATTAAATCAATCTAAAATTTCAAGTTTTTAGATAAACAAGTTTTTAGGTAATATTACAAAATATTGTTTATATTTGAAATTTGAATATAATTTTATCCTTTGTACCAGGGAACTCGTATCTCAACAAGAGTTTATCATCTTGTTTGAATCATTAGTTGTCGGATGCATATTAACATGTCCAAATCCATGAAACTTGTACAACACCCATGTTCCAAAAGTGCTGATCTTTAGCGCACTTCGCTTCAGTTCTATGTTTTTCTTATTGATCATGCATTTTAGTGGATAACTACATAGTAAACTGCATCTCAGGGATAATGACGTATAATGGCCTCGAGAGTTGCGTTATAAACAACCAATCTTACGAAAATGAAAGCGGGACAAGCAGAGGAGAGGGTTGTGTAAGCGAATCTCTCGATGATGATGGTTGTTCAAGCTGTTCTTCCAGCAAAGATGCTTTTGGGTCATTTTCATCTAAATGGTTGAGAACGAAGAGGGATGAGCATGGTTCGGATGATTGGGAGGTCGCTGGAGGCCCTCGTCACTTTTATGCTAAAGAGAAACCATGTTACTCCCTGCAATATTCAGATGTGGAGACAATGAAAGAGAAATTTGCAAAGCTGTTATTGGGTGAAGATATCACAGGAGGGCGTAATGGCCTCAGCCCTGCGTTGGCATTATCCAATGCTATAACAAATCTTGCAGGTAAAATATATATCCATTTGTTCAAGCGTTGCCTATTTTGGTTTGCTTGCTTTCTGTAACCCTTTCACTTTATGATTTTATTTCACAATCTTTTTTTTTTTTTTGAATAGGCCATTTAATGTTTGAGCATGCCATCTTACTCTCTGTTAAAACTGCGAGGGACTAATTCATACTGATTTTCATTAATTGGGGAGATACATGGAGAATTGGTAAAATAAGACGTGTCAAAATTTCAATCCATACTGATTTCATTCATTGTGAGTCTTTAAATCAGTGAGGGAAAAAAAGAAGCAATAGTGATGTTTTATGTACACATAAAGAGAGTGATACAATATTAAGTTTATGAGATGAAATAGAAACGTGGTTATGTTGGTGCTGTTGCTACAGGATTAGATGCATGACATACAAGCATTCACTTCCGAGTCTGATTTAAATCTTATATTGTGTCGTGAATAATATTCGGTTAAACTTAATCAGATTTTGATTTTTGTTGATATAATCTCGGATCGTGTTTTGTGTATTATTTGTTTTTATCATTAATCAACTCTTAAAATGCTTAAAATGTGCTGTAGCGACGGTTTTCGGGGAGCTGTGGAAATTGCAGCCATTGCCTGAAGAAAGGAAGACCAAGTGGCAAAGAGAAATGGACTGGTTGTTGTCCCCTACAAACTACATGGTTGAGTTAGTTCCTGCTAAGCAAAATTGTGCCAATGGTCGAGCGCTAGAGGTACTCTTTGTTTTTGTTGAAATATGAGGAATAAAATACTATGTTTTGTATTATTTGGTGAGATATATAATTAATCTCCTGATATTGAAGCAGATAATGACACCAAAAGCCCGTGCAGATATCCATGTGAATCTTCCAGCACTTCAAAAGTTGGACTCTATGCTTATTGTAGGCCATCTCTTCATTCTTAAAATTGAGATTCATTTGCAGAGAGATTGTTCTTATCAAGTGCATTGAATTTTCAAATTTAAACAGGACACGCTGGATTCAATGGTGAATACTGAGTTTTGGTACTCAGAAGTAGGCAGCCGGGCAGAAGGCAGAACCAAGAGCGCAAAGGAGAGCAAGAGGTGGTGGCTCCCACTGCCGCAAGTACCGACAAATGGGCTTTCTGACTCGGGAAGAACGAAACTGCTCAATCAGAGTAAGGTGGTCTATCAAGTATTCAAGGCTGCCAAATCAATCAACGAAACTGTTTTGCTTGAAATGCCTGTGCCAACCATTATTAAGGATGCACTACCAAAGGTGAGATTGGTCTCTATTTCGTCAAAAGTGATACTTAAGCTTGTAGAAAGCTATAGTTGGTGGAAATTAAAAATAGCTCCAATCCAAGTTTAATTTCAGGTCATTTTAGCTGAAGAGAACCTGCCATTTTCACTAAATCTTGGATTGCCTGTCATATAACCGATTAAGGCATTTATTTGTTAATTATTTTTGGTATTTAAACCATGCCATGAATGGCTTAGAAACCTGAAATAGAAGTGAAACAAATATAGCAATTTGGGACATCTGTTATGAGCTAGTCAACTGTCAACCTTTGACAAATAGTTTGTTCGGCATGGTTCTGGTTTAGCACTGTGACGGATGAATTTGACAATTTGAATGATGCCATCCTTGTATGCTATAACTTCAGTTGTCCTTCTTACAGTCTGGAAAGGCAAACCTTGGTGAGGAACTGTACAAGTTGTTGACTGCAGAGCCAAACACAGCTGAGGAAATGCTCGATTCTCTTAATTTACAATCAGAACACAGTGCTCTTGAAGCCATCAACAAGCTGGAAGCTGCCGTTTTTGCATGGAAAGATAGAATGACTGCACAAGTTGGTGGTAAATCTCCTGTTCTAACATCATGGTCCTTTGTTAAGGACCCAGAGTCAGAGTTTGAAAAGATGGAGTCACTGTTGGACAGAACAGAATCCCTTCTACAGCAGCTAAAGAGCAGATATCCAAATCTTCCTCAAACATTTCTAGATTCTACAAAAATCCAATTTGGCAAGGTGAGCTCCAGTTGATTAGAAAGTGCACTGTTTCCTGACAATAATGTGTATGAATGTGGTTGCTAATTCTGCAGGACGTGGGACATGCAATCTTGGAAGCATATTCACGGGTTCTTGGAAACTTGGCATTCAGCATACTGTCTAGGATAGCAGACATTATGCAAGAAGATTCATTGACCAATCCCAGTTCTCCTGCGGCTACTTGTTGCTTTCCAGGAATAAATTCATCAGGATATGTTGAGACTCCAGCCATGTCCTACATGTCCGACACTCACTCATCGAATCAGATGAATAAGGTGGATGTGAAGCATCGAAAATCCAATGCTAGTCATATTTCTGATCAGAAACTCTCTTGTAGCGAAGCCAGGACAAGCTCGGTAATTGCAACACCAAGTCGAATTCGAGTATGGTGCATTGGTGGAGATGCTTGTAGAAGTCTGTCCCCTACAAATTCTCCAAAAAATTAAAAAAGGAAAGAAAGCTTTGATATTTATATGCAGGTTTCTGTAAATTGTGTTGCTATAATGTTCACTGAAATAGCATGAGAGGTGTTTGATTCTCCCTCATGCATTAACATAATTAATCATATGAATAAATCAGTGTTGGTTTGGCAGTCATGAGTGTACTCTTGTCGAAGAACATGAATTGCCAGGGAAAACCATGGCGAATTAGCTAAATTGATAAATCTAATTATAGTTTAACTTAAGCAAGTCGACCCCCTTCCGTTTTTTTGTTCTTATTATTCTCTCTCTTTTCTTTTAAAGATCAAGACCTGGACTTACTCAAGAAATTAATTAATATACACAATTTCATTCCGAACCTGGTTTATTTCCAGCGTAGTTCATCCTAAAATATTTGAATATTTTCCTGGCTAGGAGCCCTTTCCCTTTTATTTCTTTGGTTGTGTGTTTACATATTTTTTTTAATTAATTTTTTAAAAAACTAATAATATATTTTTAAATAAAAACACTTTAAAAAATAATCAGAATAATAACAGAATTACAAGTTAAACTTGATTAGGAGAAAAAGTGATATTAGTTTTATTGCCGTGCTATACATTATTAACAAGACATCAACAAAAGATATATATAATAATAAAAAAATATAATAAATTCTGATAGACTAATTATTTGGAAGAACTCAATCATTATTTTTTTAAAAATCAAATATAACAATTAAAATAAACATTTTTTGAAATTAATAAAATAAGTGGTTTTTATTAACATACCCGACATCCGAAAAAACTGATACCTTGCGTTGCATTTGTATGATGTCATGCCAGCATCCCATGCTTCCATATGACTTCATAATTTATGTCATAAGAACATTATAAGAAAAAGAACCGAGTTGGAATGTTTGCAAATTCAAAGGACTGAAATAATGGGAAAAAAAAATCAAAGAAAACCTCTGCGTTATCCACGTGTCTAAGGCAGTCCATTAAATGCACTGTCGAGATGGCCTGTCAATTGACCAAAAAGCCATTACTAATCAAAAACCAAACAACAAAGAGGGAGAACAAAAGGGTAAAAAAGGATAGCTCAATTTAAAAAATGATTTAGGTAAAATAACCAATCATATTAAAAAAAAATTAACCCTTTGCTTTTGATTCAAAATAATTTTTTTTTAAATTTAATTTTTTCATTTTTCATTTTAAATTAATGTTTATAGTATTTAATGTGTTGATACTAAAAATATTTTTTTTATTTCAATATATTTTTAAATAAAAATACTTGAAAAAAACAGTTAATATCTAATTATATAATTAGATAAAATAAAGCTACAGGTATCTGTTTATGAACAACAGTTTCACATCCACAGCCACTGTACAATTGTGTCATGAACACCAATAAAGCAACAGTAAAATAATATATACTTTTTTTTCTTAATTGTTAATTATTAGATTGTGAGCAGTCCAACTTGAACTTTAAGTTATTTAAGATTATGTCATAGTTTATCTATAACTATTTTGGTAAAAATAAAACTATCTTAAAAATAAAATACCTTTTTTCCCTTCTAATTTCTTGATATTTTGTAGTATAGTTTTAATATCATAATTTAGGTTTTTTAAAACTATTTTGAAAAACATTAAAGCTCTTAAATTAAAATAAATTAATTAAAAAATTTCAAATTAATAGTCACTTAAATTTTATAATTTAAACTAGAAGCTCTTACATGATAATTTGATATTATATCATGAAATACATGTATTAATTAGTATTGATCTTGTTTTGAAAGCATGAAAAAAACCTGACATTGTTTGAGAAACCGATTATTTCAGGGAATTATATCTGATTAATTTATGAACATTTTCTTCAATTTCCAAACATAAAATGCTTCAGAAAAAAATAATCTAAACAAGCAGTAATTGTTTTTGTAGAAAATAAAACAAGAATACTGTGTATAAAAAGTACCGAAAATTTGAGAATTACAAAAAAATTCCAGCCCGTACACCAACATATTTAATGACAAAGCCCAGCCCAGTAAAACTAAATGGGCTGGAACCAACCCATCGGTCCATTCAGCTTCGTTGTCAGTCTGGACATGGCTGTTCTAGTCTATTTTATAGTGATGGACTCCATATGGGCACGCGCTGGTTCGTTTTTCTTCTCAGTTGAAAAAATAATTCCTGGATTCTGCAACTGAGTTTTAGAAAATTAATTAATTAAATTAGAACCCTGACGTATAAGTTGGTTTTATTTTAATTAAATTATAAAAAAATTGATAAAAATAATAAATAAATAAAATAAAAAAACACGATACGATGGAAAAAAAATTTGAAGGTATATGATTGGGTAAAAATAATAATAATTAGGATTTAATAAATTTAAAGTAACACATTAAATATATAAATTGGATAACAAAACACGAACCGACTCAAATTTTATATAACTTTTAACTTATTATTATTGTTGTTATTATTATTATTATTAATAATATTATTATCATTATTTTTATTATTGTTGATATTATAGCTATTGTTGTTATTATCACAATTATTAATACTATTATTATTATTATTATTATCATTGTTGTTGTTGCTATAAAAAAAGTTATAAATTTAATTTAAAGAATAAAATTATAAACTATAAAAACTTTAGCAAAAAAATAAAATAAAAAATCAGAAATTAAAAGAAAATAAATCAAATTAAAATTATTATTATTTTTATCAAGAAAATAAACTTGATTAGAAGGATGAAATTAAAAATCATAAAAACTTTAACAAAAAAACTAAGAAAAAAATAAAAGTAATAAAAAAAAGAACAGAATTAAAAAATACAAATTTGAATTGAATGATTAAAATAAAAATAAATGAAATTTTTAAAAAATAAATAAGATAAAATTCAAAAATTAAAATTAAAATAACTAAATTTAAAATACCAATTCATTTCCTGGAGTAGAAGAAAAAAATAAAAAAAATAAATAAACAAGCCCTAAAATGACATACATCACTTGACAAGGAAAAGAACTCGACAAGGAAAAAAAAAAAAAAAAGAACTCGACGAGGAATCAATTAAAATGACATAATAATATTTCCCATCAATGGAGTGGAAACACCGTGTATGCCATCCCAAGCACACGATGCCGTCCACATGATACGTGTTTTTTTAATTTAAAAAAAAATTAAATAATAAATTATATTATTATTTTTGACCGTTGCAATTACAGAAAACCAAAGTTAAAAGATGTCAAGACCCCTATTTCAATGACTTAAACTCTCTAACCCAAAGTTATATTTGTAATTTTATTATATATTAAAAGGAAAAGTTCAGAACACCCATGCCCTCCAACTTTATTTTTGTTGGTAATTTTATTGTTCATTAAAATAACAAATAAAACAATCTAAAATAAATATATAATGAACAATGTCACGCGTTAAAAAAAACAAAAATAATCCTAGTTAAAAGACAATTTATTTTTTGCTCACTTTACTATTACAGTAAATAGTGAGAGTTTGGCTTCTCTTTTAGCTGTTTTTTTTTTAATACATCAGCGTCAGCTGGCCTAAACTGCCGTCTCCTCTTTCACCAGCCGCCGTGACATCCGCCGTCTCTCCAAACATGGGCGTCCCAAGATTCACACGGCCCAAAAGACCGGCAACCGATTCACCGAGTCCTTATCTCTACGTAGCCAACTGTGGACCAGCGGTTGGGATTTCTTATGACACAATTGCTTCCGTGTTTAACACCTTTGGAGAGGTGAAAGGAATTTACGCAGCAGATGAAAGCGGAACACGTGTTATAGTTTCTTATTCCGAAGCTAATTCTGCCCAACAAGCTCTTACTGCACTGAATGGGAAACCTTGTGCCGATCTTGGTGGCAGGTCTTTGCATATTCGGTATTCAGTTATTCAACCAAATTGTGAGGCTGACAGCCAGCAGGTTAATGAGCACGTTCCTGTTTCACTGCTGGCTTCGGAGGTTAATATTCCTGGGCTTTATCTGGTTCATGAGTTTCTCAGTCCTCAGGAAGAAAAGGTTAGCCATGTTTCTGCTTTTTAGCTGTTCAGGCGGGCGTGGATGCCTTTCTGAAGCAAAACTCTTATTTTTTATTTGTGGGGTGTGCTTGCATGTATTTTTTTATTAGAGCTTGGTGTATGATTTGTGTTTTTCAGGAGTTACTGGCAGCAGTTGATGAAAGGCCTTGGATAAGTCTATCTAAAAGGAGGGTGCAGCATTATGGATATGAATTTTGTTACGGAGTAAGTATAACACTGCTGAACTTGATCAAACCCATTGTTATACTCTTAATGATTCTTTGTCAGCAGAAATAGCTAATTTACAATGCTTTGAGTATAGCTGTCATATATGTTGTGAAGATATCAACTAGATGGACTTGAGGTCTGGGAACTTTGTTGATATATTTAGCTTGTTAGTTGCTTTGATTTCTAAAGGTGGGAAATTTTCTGAATATTATCTGTTGACTTAGTACTACTGCTCCGGGAGCCTCTCAGTAACCATATTGTATTTTCAGAACAGAATTTTGTAATCTTTAGGTTTCTCAGTTCTTACCATCAAGGATTGGTATATTCTGATTGACCCAACAACCATTTTATTGATTTTTCGCAAAGAAAGATTAAAGAAATATGCATGCATGGGAAAGCACATCTGCCTCAATAAAGTTCCTAGGTGTTCTATGGTTCAAACAGCTGTAACAGACTCAAGATGATTTGTCGGTGCTTGTTAATTTGCATGGGTGATTCTTAAATAGCTCCCAGCTAATACTTTTCCTGTGAATCTTATATTAGAAAGATACCAATAGTAGTAAATCTGAATTGTAAGGACCTTAGGAAAGTCTAGGATGCCATGCCTTGTCCATCTCTTAGACATCATTCTTTTTTCTATAATTTGTTGTTACTAAAGGTGGCTGCTTGGTTATGAATTAAATGTGAGAGTGCTAAGAACTTACCAAATCTTTTCCTGTTCTGGTACAGACAAGGAATGTTGATACAAAACTGCATTTGGGCGAACTTCCATCATTTGTTTCTTCGATACTTGAAAGGATTTCATTGTTTCCTGGCCTTAACAGTTCTACAAGCATACTCTTGGACCAACTCACAGTATGTACTACTTTTTCTACTAACCATTTATTTTAGTTGTGATCCTGTGTAATCTTATGCATGACTGCTACGTTATCTTATCTTATGTAATAGAGGTGGCAACTCTGCATATTAAACTGAATGTGGAGTAGTACGTATGGCTCAATGGCTAGGGCACTTGCATTTAATTTATGCTTTGCTTAATTATTTATTAATTTTTGATGATCAGTGATAATTTACAGGTAAACGAGTACCCACCTGGGGTGGGCTTGTCTCCACACATAGACACCCATTCTGCATTCGAGGGATTGATTTTTAGCCTTTCATTAGCAGGGCCTTGCATCATGGAGTTCAGGAGATACTTGGATGGTTCATGGGTTCCTGATGCTGCCTCTAGTGCTTATACAAAGGTGGAAAATGTTGACAACTGCTCAAATCTAGTTAGGAGGTCTCTTTATCTTCCTCCTCGGTCCATTCTTCTGTTATCTGGGGAAGCACGCTATGCTTGGCAACATTACATTCCACACCATAAGGTAAATCATGTTGTTGATCATGGATGGAAATTAGTCCCGTGTTGCCAATTGCTCTTTATGAAGTTCAAGCATTTCCTTTTCCAATGAATTTGGGATTAATGCTACCATCCACCAATGATAACAGTTGTTATCAATGGGAACGTTCTGATTTACAGATAGTTTCATTTTTTTTTTTGGTTTCAAATGGCAGTACAATTTTGTTATGGATAGCGGCATCCTTCCTCTGCAACTTTCTTTGGAATGATATGATATTGTGTCTTTGTTTGATGTGATAGAGTTTTCTCTCTCCTTGCCCCCTTTCTCTGTGTGCTCTAGCATTGAATTTCCTCATCCCTAAATACAAGGTTATATAATAATCGCATTGCAGATTGACATGGTAAATCAAAGTGCGATCAGAAGGGGTGCAAGAAGGGTATCATTTACATTTCGTAAGGTGTGTGACTTTATTGTTTCTCCTTGTTCTACTTTTTTGACTGCATTGATTTTCAACAAATATGTTCTTTTGATATGAATGCAATGAATAACTTTACATACCTTTTCTGGAAACAGTCATTCAGTTCATATTTAGATATTCCAAAGCCCACTGTATCATTTTAGCTATCACTATCATGAATATATTGTTTAAATTCTTGTTTCTCTAAAGGGTTGCTTCTATTATCTGAAGGTCTAAATGATGGAAACAAAACACAGTCACTACTTTTATCCATTTGCTATGTAGTTTTGTAAGCTGCATGTTGACCTAAATGATGGAGGCATCATTGTTGATGTTAATGAAGACAAGGGTGGAGCTTCTAATAACAAATGCTCATATATCATATTAGGAGCACGGCACAAAGATAACTAACAAAAGGCACACCTAAAAGAAAAAAAAATCTCTCTACCTAACTTGTCCTTTTCTCATATGGAGGATCCAGCACTCATATTTTTTAGCACATAGCAAAAGAGACCAAGCTTGGCTATGTATTCAGGACTAGTATTTTAGGTTGGTTGCTAATGTTCACATTCGTAAGTCAGTATACTGGTTTAAAAGAAAATCTGCCCTTGTAGTTAAATAAATATTCGATATTAGTAGTGAAAGCTTGCTGTGTGGTTAATTTTGCCACTAGCTTCAAGTTAGAAATTGCAGTTCTTGGCATTATGGTTAAATATTGACGCAGTAGCTTTTTAGTCAGGAGATTGACTAGAAGCTTTTGAAATCAAGTTTATTTTAAAGAAATTATGTTCATTTAATTAGGTAGGTGTCATTGATTAGGATGTGACTTTTTAAAATATCTTCTCAGAGGTTAAGTTGTCGTTACTTGGTGACCTAGAAGTTTTTCTTAGAAGACTAGTGAATCATTTTCCTACAAGGACTAGGACTGAGGGCCACTTTACAAGCAAACCTTTGTTTCTCATTATAGAAACCTTTTTGAACCTTAAACCTTACCATCTTGTTCAAACCTCAGTTTTGTTCAAGTTCCATACATAGTATTTCTGCTGTTTGCTGTTTGACATTGTTTTCTCTCCCCCCTCTATGTCAACTAGTAAAGACAACTGTTATAAAATATTTTAAAACTTCACATTCTAATCACATGTCTACCACCATATTTAATAAACATAATTTCTGAGCTAAAATAACACTAATTTGATTAATATTAGAGAAAGCTTCTGCTTAGATCTTTTTCCTAAACAGCTCTATTGTTTGTATTCAAGTTACTACTTCAATCCCCCCCTTGACAATTTTCTTGTTATCTTTCAAATTCTCGCCAAGAAAAACTCTGCAACTTGCTTCAATCAAGACCTTTATTGGAATGATATGACATACTGTACAAAAAAGGTGAGATGTTATTGGCCTATATGATATTCAAAGTTCAACCAAGGAGACATAACCTTAATTCAGGAGTGGCTTCTTGGTGTAGGAAGAGACAACCAACATTTTTCTTATCGACTACTAGCACAAAGAATGAGTAGCGGCAGTGGTGCCATCGGAAAGTACATGTTTAATGCAACTTTTAAAGGATCTTCATCAATCTGGTGGTTATGTAATCCCTCTACATTGCACATAACAATAAGTCAACTATTTGTTTGTCTGAAAATCTTACATTTCATGCAAAAGCAAAGGATATGGAAGTGCATTAACCCTGTTTGAGCAGGTAGGTAGTACAAGAAGAGTTAGATCTACAATAATTTGCCACAAAGAACAAAGTGGCTGGTAAATTCACTGAAGGACACAATAGGAAGCAACGAGCTTGTGGAGTTTGGATCATGGCTCAGAATTACAATGAGAAAATCATTTTTGAAGGGGTGTGTTGAGGATCAAGAACAAACCCTTGGTTGAAGAAGCAGCGTTAAAGCTAGCTAGCAATAATTAATTATGAAACCAAGGTCTGGTCCATTATATATAAGAGTTAATTTAAACAAATATTTATTGACCAACTTTCTCATTATGTAGCTGTACTTCAAAAGAAGTTGCTCCCAGCCATAAGGGAAGTCTTCTCCAACGGTAATAAAAACTTATTTTTATTTAAGCGTGCAGCTCATTGATATATAGCTTTATACCTTGTAACTGACCTAGAGAATGAACCGAGACTGTGTAGTGTTATAAATAGGATACTTGGGTTCAGTTGTAATGTGTGCTAAAAAATGAGTAATGTACAAGTGAGCACTCCAAAGACAAGAACATTTATAAGAGTGTAGATCATGGGTTTTGAGTCAAGGGCATCTTGAATTCAAGGAAACCTTTCTGAGTCACCACGGCAGCATTTTTCTGAGAAAAAATTACTTGTTTCTTTTGTTCTTTTAAACGTAAAACTGTTTTGCTTGTTCTTGGAGGCTTGTATTTCTAAACAGTTGGTTCTTTAAATATATGTGCTTGTATAGGTGTGCCTGTGCATGACCTAAAAACCAGATAAAAACTGCCATGGGAAATACCTGGAAGGAATATTGAACAAAATGTTGCATCAGGATTGACAAAATTGAGGTGTGATTGTTCAATTTGTTCTGATACTTATGGATTGTAATTCAATTTGTTGTGGTTTTAAATGACTACATATCTTTGGACAAACTGTGGCTTCTGCTTAAGTTTTGTGAAAAGAACTCTTCTTACATGTATAGTAACGTGAAAAGGCTCGACTTGCTAGAAAACTGGTTTTATGACCTTGGTTTCCTTGAGAAACAGATTGGAAATGGAACAAGAATTCCTTTTGTCCATTACAAACAAGTTCAATATGTTTGGACTGATAAGCTTTGACCCTGCAGGTACTAAGAGGTCCTTGCCAATGCGAATTTCCACAATACTGTGATTCAGAAAGATAGGAGAAGCTGTTGGGTGCCATTTGAGGTAATCGACCGAGCTTTTTGACATAGAGTGTGCTATAACTATATTTATGAGCGTGTTATATAACAAGACCAAGTCTGAAGAAAAGTCCACGAAGAAATCCGGAAGCATCTAATATGAAAAACTTGGAGTTGTTGTTATAATTATTTTTCTTGCCTTCAAATTGGAGGCAATAGGAAACAATGAAGGAAACAGAAAGTTGGCGCAAAAAATGGCCATTTAAAGTAGAACGAGTGATTAAAGCTAACACTTATCACCTGTAGGACAAGCAAAGAAACAATTTCCCCTGTGCGTGGCACTCCAACCATTTAAAGGTGTGCTTCTATTGAAACATTGGGTTTTAAATCCTCAATTTTGTATGAAAATTTTCTAGTTTATGCACTGTTGATGTTTCGTCGTACTAGCTTTATTTTAGCTATAGTTCTAGTTTGCCTTGTACTTGCCTATACATATATAGCTCTATTTCATTTTGCCTATCAAAAATGTTTTTGAATAAAATTAAAAAAAATTATTTTTTATTTGTTTTAAATTAATATTTTTTTGGTGTTTTTAAATCATTTTAATATACTAATGTTAAAAATAATTTTTAAAAAATAAAAAAATATTATTTTCATGCATTTTTAAATAAAAAATATTTTGAAAAACAATTATAATTACATTTTTAAACAGATATATCATCCAAGTTTTTACATCACTATCATTATATCCAAATTATTTATCTCTGGTTTTCTCCAAATTATTTATCTTTTTTATAAATAATTATTTTATGTCTCCATATATTTATTTTGTACACATAATCTCCCTCACCAAACAAAATGTTTTATTCTACACATTCTAGATAAATGATACATTTAATTACACATGATCTCTATGTAAAAGGAGGCTATGATACAGACAATAAATACATAATCTCTATATACAGACAATAAATACACACAACCTGCAAAACTTAGACCGCAAGCTGAGTTCAAAGAAATCCACCCGGATAAAAAACACAAACCCAAACAATACTTGAACATTACATGTGGGGTTATATATTGAACCACAACTACAAGAAGAAGCTTTTGAAGGGTTCTTTAGGTGATGAGCTAATTTCCTCCCACTTCATGAGGAAGGTAGTCTCCACAGGCTGTTCCTTCAGCACGAGTAGGGATGATCTCATCATAGTCAAGAAAAGGACCAGTAAAGGCATGTTATAGGTCCACAGGGTTCCTCCTAAGCTCTATTATCAAAATAAGCATCACCCATCAGAAGCAAGAACTCATCATCCATGATATCACAACAAGCCATTGTAATGCCATACATGCCCGCCTGAGGCAACCCAGGTGTGTTGGCTGCGCCATCGGGTTTTTCTGGATCCTTTAGTATAGTTTTTATATATTTATGTGTATTTTTTTATTTGTTAGAATATTTTTACCGAGTCCTATAAAATTATTATTATTACTTTTTCATATGATTCATCACATGATTTAATAAATTCAGTTCAAGTTCAGTTCAAGTGATTGTATTGGACAACCTCCATGGTCAATTAGTTATCATCCTTTAAACTGATAAAATTATGTAAAATATTATTTCACCAAAATATTTCTACACGGTAGGTTATAAATAATTGTGCCACCCTATGCCTGGTTTATCTAATTAAAAAAAATAAATGTAACGAGTTTTTTATTTTATAAAAACTCAGGGATCAGAGTGAGGTAAAGGAATCTAAGATGTATACTGAAATAAAAAATTATAAGACATTTTTATTTTTCAAAAGAAATTTTTTCCTTCTTAACATCTTAACAAAACTCAAACTAACTTAAACATTAAAATTCTTATTTTGTAGATAATTCTAACCATAAAAATACAAGTATGATCTAACCTCTTCTTTACCATTCTAAACTTAGACAAGAAATTGTAAACACAAAAAATTAAAGCATGAAGTTAAAAAAATTTATTAAACGGAAAAATACTGAATTACAAAGCAATCAAATCTAATTGAAATAAAATAAAATGTTATGGGAAAATTTGAGATAGCCTAGACCTCTAAGGACTAAATCAATTTAAATTATTCAATTTATACTAATAACTAGGAGTTTACATTTTGAAACAATATTGAAAAGATTTAAATTAAATTTGATTTTAGATTTATTTATGATTTTAGATTTTAAAAGTTGTTATTCTACGTGTCGCTATTATGGACCAATGAACATCCATCATTCACGTCGCTCCTCCTTTCATTCAGTGTCGAAATCAGCCCCCCAAGTCCATTACACTCCCTTCCCCTTCAGACAACCTTGCTTGCCCTTAAGATGAGGGTAGTAGAATCTCCTCCCTCATCTTCCCTGTCAACTTCTTCAATTAAAAACAATTTTGTACCTCCATATTTATGGCATGGGCTTCACTTGTCATTGCATTTAAAACACAGACTCTTCTCCCTCTTGTTCTTCATTAGGGCGAGGTTCAACTTCTGAACTAGTAGATTGGATCGAAAATCTCCCATTGTCTGGACTGGAACAGAGTTTTTCCTAGTCCCTCGACACATTAGGTTTCCAACTCCCGCAAAATGCCTTCAAATTTCTCTCCTGCATTCGAGCCAGCCAGCCAGCCTATAGGCCGCCACTAAATTTTATGGGTTTAGCATTCTAACCCCAAGTTTAATCTCTTTCCTCAATCTTCCTAGGAAGTAGCTCAGCCTATGAAAATCTGATAACCTTCAAACTTTATTTTACAGGAGCTTAAACGAGGATTTGTAACACTCCATTGAAGTAGTTTTTTCCGATTGATAAGAGCCTCCATTGGGTCATTATAAGTGGACACCCTAAATCGGATTTATAGTGCCTTGACAAAGGATTCATAGGTAGGAATGGACACTGTTTATTTCATTTCCTGAAACCACATGCTAGCCCACCTTTCCATGTGAGAATTCGAGGTAGCCCGGGCCTCCGAGAACTAGACCAATTCAATCAAAGATGTTTAAACACTCCTACATTATTCAATTTATACTAACAACTAGGAATTTTAAGTCTTGAAATAAATTTGAATTGAAATTTGAAAAGATTTCAATTTAATTTGATTTAAGACTTATTCATGGTTTTATACTTAAAAAATTTATTATTCGCCCCCCGTTTCATAGTTAAAATCAATCCCAGATCCATTTCAGATAAAAATGATAAGATCCTAAACAACAGTGCTGATCAAGGGAAAAAAAACGTCTACATCATAATGTCATTATTTCGTAATGAATATTTGAAATGGCATCAAAGATTTTTAATATTGACGAATAAATCGCTTTCGCCAGCGCCTTCATGGTGAAGGCAAATGGACCGAATCCATAGTGTGAAGGGAAAGTTATTTGCTGGGCTCTAGTGTGAACTGCAGCCATAGAACATGATACTGAAAATCGATAACGCAGGGCTTCTTGGCAATCTGCATCTGACAGTTGCTTTCGCTCATATGGAGTTGGCTTTGCTGGCAAAACCAATTCAGGATCCTTCACTGTGAATGATAGAGAGAATGATGGGGCCATCTTTTGATGCAGGGACAGTGAAGGAGAAGAGTTCTTTTGTAACCCTTTTGAGAAGGTAGGAGAAGAGTATATTGAGTTTCGATTTTTTTATTATTATTTTGGCTTAGCTTTTAGTCTTTAGATTAATGAGAGTTAGTTTCTAGACTGATTATTTAGTGTTTTATTGCTGTAATTGAATTTACTAAGGTTTCTATAATTCTATTATATTTTTAGATAAAAATGGATTGAAAATTAAAATTGTTGGATCCAAATATCCTATCTAATTTTCCAACCACCTTCAATAATCAAAATTTGGATAATTTATTAAGTTATTTTCATTTCTTTTTTTTAAAAAAAAAAAAAAAAACGTAAGTCTTGTCTTTCTCGTTTACTTGATTTTTTTAAAAGAAACTAGACATCTTCGCCTGGTTTTTTTTATAAATCAGGAGCACAGGTCTGACATTCTAAGTATATTAGTGCCTAGCCTCTCTTGGCCCTCCCCTGCTTATGAAATTTTTCAAAATCATGCAATTATTCCATGTTTTTTTAAAGCAAGATTAATTTTTTTTATGAATATATTTCTAAGGCTATTTTTTTAATCGTATACGAGATTAATATGCACAATATCTTTTATAAAATATATGAAAATAAAATATTTTTTAATATCAACTTCTTATATTATTTTCTCAAATTAATTACACTTATTTTTTTATATCATCGCATAAAGACAATCAAGAAATTTGCTAAAAATTAGTTCAAATATCATAAGACATTTTGACTAAAGAAATACATTTTTTCTCCTAAATTTAAATCACTTTAACTCTTATGTAAGCCTTTTATTTAAAAAATCATGTTGATAAAAAATAAAAAAGTCACGGCTTGGTAAAAAAAAGAGAGAAACGAATTGCATAAATAGAAAGAAAGAATTTTGACAGAGAAAAATATATTTTTTACCTAGAATTTGAATCATCCAAAATTCTTTAAAATAATTTTTTTAAAATCACCACAATTAAATAAAGGTTTTTGAGAACGGCTCCATAACACCTTCTGGAGACTATAAATCCTAACTTACCCTGTAGCGTGTGGTCGTAATAATTTGAACTGCTTAATTATTGAGTTCAAAATACATCTATGTAAATATGTTCTGAACAGATCTACTCGCACTGACAATTCATTTATGCCGAATGGTGATCAGGTGGTACTACCAGACAGATCTCCTGAAAGAGCACTTCCGTATGATACTGACCCTGTCTGTGAAGTGGTAGCAGCTCGCGATTTTTGAATCAGCCGTATCCTGAAAACATCTCTAGGTAATGGTTGGCTTTGGACGGTAGCCGTTTCATCTTCTTCTTGCCCTACAGTCACGGCATCCATTATGAGATACAAAAGCAATGATGAAGTTCAAACAAGATTTTTTAAATTCGCAGGTGCAAAGCTTGGATGGACTTTTAAAATCTAAACTCTGATAGATAGCAAGCAACACCTGAATCAATGGTCAAAGCCAAATTGCTATTCAAATATAAAGTTGTAAAATTTCATTTGCTTCAATACATGAAAAGGAGAAAACTTGTGTGGTGCGAGAAGTATATCTTTAATGGCATGTGACACAGTGACAGGCAGGCACATACAGTAAGTAACCACAACTAATGAGAAGGCAATAAGCATAGTTTCAAGGAAGTGTGAATGAAAAAACATAAACGTACTGTCTCGGTCCTTCCGTTTCCCAGATTGTCTATCCCGTGTTTTGAAAGATGAACCGCTCGGGACAGGACGTGATCTGCTTGAACCAGAAAGATCACTTGTTGCAGGACCAGAAAGCATTGGAGTTTGGGTTGTCCCTGATTTTCCTGTTTTCCCAACAGGTACGTCACTCTGCAAACAAATTGATAATACAATATCTACATTTGGTGCAGGACCTAGAAACATTCAAGAAAAAAACATTAATAACCATGTATAGCAAATAGATATCAGCAGCAGCAGTAGCTGGAGATTTGGACTCTCCAAATTGACCATGTAAAGTACAAATCTGTATGGCACAAATGTAAATTGCAATCAAATAAAACTTGGATGTTGAAACCTAAGTAAAATTCAAGGAGCTATAAATCTGTAGTATAGAGCAACCACCAAGCAAAATAAGCAAGAAATGTTTGCTCACAAGCTTCCTAGTTATTCCCATATGGAAGGATCAGATTTCCCAATTTAAAAAAAACAGTAGTGATATTCACAACTGCTCGCGTATCATATCAACAAGAATGCAAGCAGTTTTAACTGAAATTTTTAATGCAAAAATCTTGGAAATTGAAATTTTTACTAGGATATATATGGTATTGAAGTCTGAGTGATTACCTTCAACTATGGGCAAGTTTGCTAAAAAAGATATCAATGCAGGTGGTGTTGCTTTCAGCACCTCATCAAATACATTGGGTGCCAATCCAATAGAATTCGACAATGGGTTAGAAGCAGCCTTGAACCCAGACACTGTTGTGCTAGGTGGAATTCCAGCCTCTACATAAGAACACCACTTAGTATATGCCAAAATCAAAAGTCAAATATACATGATTAAATATGCATGCAAATCTCGTTGTTTGATTTTTAAAAGTGACATCTTACACTTACTATTATCAACTTGTACATCTCAAACCTATTCCATCTCTTATTTCATTTATCTGGCAGATTTAACAACTCTTTACATGATTGAACTGTTCTTATCGGATCAATGGCATGGCCAGATGAGTAGCCAGGAGAGTTTGATAGAAAATGATGCCAGGTGACAAGATGTAGGAAAAAGGAATGTAGATCATAAGTTTGCAACTGGTATAAGATTTGAATCTGAATTTGTTTGAATGTTTGATGCAATGCCTAATAGTCTAAATAATTCAGCCAATAGGAAGCCTTGAATGACCAAGTCAATTAGATGACACAAGT